TACTGTCTGAGGACGAAGGACCAAGTATTGGACCGCTTCAAAGCTTTTCATGCAATGGTGGAAAGACAAACAGGCAAGCAGTTGAAATGTCTCAGATCAGATAATGGAGGCGAGTACTAGTCCCGTGAGTTCTCTACATACTGCACGGAACATGGTATCAGACATGAAAAGACTGTCCCATGAACCCCACAACACAATGGTGTAGCAGAACGGATGAATCGCACCATTGTTGAGAAAGTTTGATGCATGCTCAGCATGGCTAAACTCCCAAAGCCATTCTGGGGTGAAGCTGTATTGACATCTTGCTATCTAATAAATAGGTCACCTTCCGCTCCATTGAATTTTGAAGTTCCGGAGAAGATATGGACAGGTAAAGACATATCATATTCTCACTTGAGAGTATTTGGGTGCAAGGCGTTTGCACATGTATCAAGTGAATTGTGGAAGAAGTTGGACCTCAAATCCACTCCATGCATCTTTATTGGATATGGAGATGAAGAGTTCGGGTACAGGCTATGGGACCCAGAACTAAAGAAGGTTATTCGAAGTAGAGATGTGGTTTTCTATGAAAACCAGTATTATGATTTCAAGGCAGCGGTTAACAAGCAATAAAGCTCCAAAGTTTCAAATATAATATCTGAAAATAAAGAAGATGTTTCCGCTGAAGAATTTGATGAAGAAGTCAATGATGCAGATCAAGAAGGTGTTGAGCAGGGGGAGCTTCCACCCCTGGATAATTCAGATCCACTGCCAGAAGTTGCAAATGAAGGAACTCAATTTCGACAATCCGAACGAGTCCGTGCTCCATCAAGAAGATATCCGACTTCAAACTACATCCTTCTTACCAGTGAGGGGGAGCCAGAGAGCTTTCAAGAAGCTCAATCTCATATTGACAAAGCAAATTGGCAGAAATCCATGGAAGAAGAAATGAATTCTTTGCAGAAGAATCAAACATATGAGTTGGTGAAACTCCCCAAAGGAAAAAAAAGCCTTAAAAAACAAGTGGGTTTTCAAGTTGAAGAAAGACGGCAAGGGAAATACTATGAAGTATAAGGCGAGACTCGTTGTCAACGGTTTCCAACAAAAAGAAGGAATCGCCTTTGATGAAATTTTTTCGCCGGTTGTGAAGATGATGTCTATTCGAGTTGTACTCGGATTAGTTGCCAGTCTAGATCTTGAACTTGAGCAGATGGATGTGAAAACAGCCTTTCTCCATGGTGATTTGGATGAAGAAATATACATGGAGCAGCCTGATGGCTTTAAAGTCCCAAAGAAAGAGCATCTCGTCTGTAAATTAAAGAAGAGCCTTTATGGTCTTAAGCAAGCCCCAAGGCAGTGGTACAAGAAGTTTGATTCATTTATGATGAATCATGAGTACAAGAGAACTGTTGCAGACCATTGTGTCTATCTGAAGAAGTTTCCAGATGGGAAATTTGTCATCCTTTTGCTCTACGTGGATGATATGTTGATAGTGGGCCAAGATGCAACGATGATCAACAACTTGAAGAAGGATTTGTCTAAGTTCTTTGATATGAAAGACTTAGGCCAAGCACAACATATATTAGGCATGAAAATTATCCGTGATAGAAAATCAAGAAAATTGTTCTTATCACAGGAAGAGTATGTTGAACGTGTGATCAAAAGGTTCAACATGGAAAATGCCAAGCCCGTTGGTACGCCCTTGGCTAACCACTTCAAGTTGAGTAAGAAAAATTGTCCATCTTCTGAGAAAGAAAAAGAAGAGATGAAGGCAGTCCCCTATTCCTCAGCCGTAGGAAGTCTTATGTATGCAATGGTGTGTACAAGACCAGATATTGCTCATGCTGTCGGTGTTGTGAGTAGATATCTAGCTAATCCGGGAAAACAACATTGGGAAGCAGTCAAATGGATACTTCGATACCTGAAGGGTAGTTCGAAACTATGTTTATGCTACGGGGGAGCAAAGCCAATCGTGGAAGGTTATACAGATGCCGATATGGCAGGAGATCTTGATAGTAGGAAATCTACATCAAGTTACATTTTTACTTTGGCAGGGGGAGCTATCTCGTGGCAATCCAAGTTACAGAAGTGTGTCGCACTGTCAACAACAGAAGCCGAGTATATTGCTGCTGTTGAAGCTGGGAAGGAGCTTATATGGATGAAACGGTTTCTTCAAGAATTAGGCTTTCCACAAGAAGAGTACATCATTCATTGCGATAGTCAGAGTGCTATGGACCTGAGTGAGAACTCGATGTACCATTCCCGCACAAAACATATTGATATACGTTATCACCGGCTTAGAGAAGCAATTGAGGGACGAGAATTGAAGTTGTTAAAGATCAACACCAACAACAATCCTGCAGACATGTTGACAAAGGTGGTGACACAAGAGAAACACAGACTATGTGCTGACATAGTTGGGATGAGGATTGTTGGACGGAGACTGGAAGGGGAGATTTGTTGTGTTCCAGCCTCCAAAGCCTCCAAAGCTACAGTAGCCATCATTGTTGACAAAATGAAACCTACGGGACAAGTTTTTCTTCCCACCCTATGATGAACACAATTAATGAAGGCAACTACAATGGTGGCTGCCAAGACTATAAATAGAGACTTCATTCTTCAGTTGTATGCATCCCAAACACAGAGAAACATATAGTATAACACTTAGAGTGAGAGTGTTAGTGAGAGGGTTGGTTTTTTGTAATAATTGAGTGTGAGAGTTACTCCTCATATTGTAATTCTATTTTAGTGTTTAATAGAAGAGTTTTCCAACCCCAACAGATCTTGATGTTCTTCCGCTAGTGTTGGAGCATAAAGAATATACACATATAGTTTTTGTATTGATGTTCTTCCGCCAGGAGTGAGAGAGAAACGAGAGATTAATTTGTTTAGATTACTAACAAGATCTTCAGTGATGTCAAGGGTGAACACTGAACATACTAGTTGTGAGTTTCGATTAGGATTGATATTTTTTCTTTTTTTATAATTATTAAAATATAAAAGTAAATAAAAAATGTAAAAATAAAAAATAAGGGTAAATCAGTCCTGTCAACTTTTTTAGGACCAAAACCTTACAAAATTACATAAATGGTTCTTATGGTTGATACAATTGACCAACTCTGGTCCTTATGACAAATTTTGTGCCTAGATGGTCCATATGGTTTCAAAATATTGCAAAGACAGACTTTTTGGCTAATGGTGTTAACTTTTTCAGTTAAGTCCCTTGTGAAATGACACATTTGCTCTTCCTACCATAGATACCATTTATGTACTTTGTTCCTGCCACAGGGACCATTTATGTAACGTCAACTATTATTTATTATTATTATTATTATTTAATTTATTTATATTACTATGATTTAGATTTTTTTTTGACGTTTTGTTCGAATATATTATTTAATGTTTTTTTTATATTTTTCGCTTACATTTTTTGATATTTTGTTCGTATAATTTTTTCTAATTTTTTTGACATTTTTTAATACATTTATTAATATTTCTTTTGACTTTTTGTTTGAATAATTTCTTCTATTTTTTTTTTGACTTTTTGTTCGAATATATTTTTATTGTTTTTTTCAATATTTTGTTTGTTTGTATTTATTAAAGATTTCATGGTCACTGTAATCATAATTCCTAACTTAATTCAATTACAATCATATTTTTCTTTTTTTGTTCTTTTAATATAGATAAGGTTTTACAAGTATTATTTTATAATTCAAATATATAACTATATAACACATATAAGGTTTTATAATTCTTATTTTTATAAAGCTTTTTATAGACATTTTTAATAAAAAAAATATAGAAAAATTTGTTAAACGTGAATATAATTAATATAAATTAGGTACACATAAGCTAACCTAAGACTGCCTCGTAGTCTTGACGAGAGCGCCCATGTCATTTCACATTGGACTTAACTTTAGTATTTTCGAGTTATTTAATTCTTTTAGGCATTTTTTTTCGATTAGCCTATATGTTCCGATTAGCCTATCTATATTAATCATATTCACATTTAACAAAGTTTTTTTATATATTTAAAAAAGAATGTTTATAAAAAGCTTTAAAAAAATAATAATTATACAACCTTATATGTGTTATATAGTTATATATTTGAATTAAAAAAATAATAATTATATAATCTTATATATATTAAAAGAACAAAAAAATAGAAAAATATGATTACAAGTTAATTAAGTTACGAATTATGACTATAGTGACCATGAAATCTTAAACAAATATAAACAAACAAAATGTAAAAAAAAACATTAAAAAATCATTAAAGTTTTTTTTTTTGAACAAAACGTCAAAAAAAATTATTAAAGCAAAAAGTCAAAAGAAATATTAATAAAAGTATTCGAATAAAACATCAAAAAAATTAGAAGAAATTATACGAACAAATATCAAAAAACGCAAACGAAAAAAGTAAAAACAAAGAAAAAAATTAAAAGTATATTCGAACAAAACGTCAAAAAAAATCTAAATCATAGAATATAAATAAGTTAAATAAAAATAATAATAAATAATAGACAAAGTTACATAAATGGTCCTTGTGGCTAGAACAAATTACATAAATGGTCCTTATGGCATGAAAGGCAAATGGGTCATTTCACAAAGTACTTATCAGAAAAAGTTAACATTGTTAGCCAAAAACACTGTCTTTGTAAGATTTTGTAACCAAATGGACCATCTAAGCCCAAAATTTGTCATAAGGACCAAAGTTGGTCAATTGTGTCAACCACAAGGACCATTTATGTAATTTTGTTCCAAAACTATCAGAAATTTTTGATGCCCAGTTGAAAATTTTTTAATCCTTACCCATAATATTACGAAACCACAAAAGACTAATTTTACAATTTAGGAGTTGTTTGTTTTTTCTCTACATGTCTGTGTGACCTCTTTTATCTGCGTCCCGCAAGCCACATGCAAACATAGAGGCTTGCAATGTTTTTTGTTTTTCAGAAGTCCGCAGACATAAAAACATCTACGCGAGGTCTTCGTGGCAGAGACTTGGCCTTGAGTCTTTTAAGGTCTACACGCTTTTATTCATAACCTGAAAAAAAAATGTTTATCTGTTTTCTCTCAATGTATCGACGCCTCCATAATTCATTCTTCCACAATTCAACGCCTCCCTCCTTCATCGTTCATCTTGTTCCTCTCTCTCGGTGTCGGCGTCGTCCCGGTGGTCGTTCACAACCGTCTTCGTCGTCTAGAAGTCGTTCGCTATTCCGACATCACCCTCTTCCCGCTACATTCTTCCGCCGATGCCAGGTAACCCCCATCTTCCTCGACTATTTTTTCTAGAGTTTGTTTTATTGTGTGTTATTTATTTGTTGAATATGTGTTGTTCCCGATTTTGTATCTAATTCAATTGGGATCTAGAATTGATCGAATCTGGAACGCGAATCGGTGAAATTGGGAACCATTTACTGGTACAATTGGAAGTCAATTGGGTCGCCGATTTATTTAATTGAAATCCCATTTTTTTCTATGTGAAGCGATGGCGCTATTTCTTGGCAAATAAATGATTGGATTTTTCAAATGATTTCAATTTTTTATTTAATTAACTATTGTCACATATGTAATTGAATTCGGTTGATCATTTATATGATTTCACATTGATTTCCTTAGATTTAATTGATTTTGCAATTCACAATCTTATGCTTATATATAGAGCCATGATAATTTTGAACATATACTTCACTCTTCTCTTCACGGTAACAACAATATATGATCTCACATGTGTTGGTTGTTGGTTGTAGTCTTCTCATCTACACAAATTTGAATGGGTGAAAGATGTGTTTGATGATGCTGCTTAATGTTATTATATGGAGTTTTTGATGATTTTTTTTTATATACATGGAATTTTGATTAGATTACAATGGCTATTTAATGTAAAAGAAAAATTATCTCGTTAAATGATAATTTGATTAGATTGCAATTGACAATTTGATGTTATTTATGTATATAATTGTCACAGAAAACCTCATAATATATTGTATATTAATATTTGTCAAATCAATTTATTTAAATTTCAGTCTAGTTTATCAACCTGCAGACATTAAAAAACAAAACAGTCTTCTTCTTGCAGACGTTTGGTCCACCTCTTTTTCATCAGAAGTTTGCAGATGTAGTCCGCAGGCTGCAAACATTTTGTCTCTGAAAAAACAAACATCACCTTAGTCTTAATATGTAATGAACTTTGATGATAACTATTTTCAATTTTTGTTACATCCGTTCTATGGACATGTTATTGGTTGGTTCTATGGAATGTTTTGAATACTTTTTTTTTTTGGAAACGGCAACTTTTATAAAAAGAACCCACGACTAGCAAGAAACTAGCGAAGGAACAAACCAACAGAAAGAACATTGTTCAAACTAAAACAAATACAAAAGAACAACAAATGACAATTAAAGACATCCCCAAAAACGGATATGTTGACCATTCTTCCCAAGTGTACATTACTTGTTTACCCCTGCATTTTAACCAAAAATACACCATTGATTTTACGGCTTCAACAGCAGTTGCGGGCTTTGCGAATACTCCTTTAAACACACGATCATTCCTGAGTTTTCATAAGTTCCAGATAAGTCCATGACATATGGTGATGAATCTCTTTCTCATCTTCAAATTTCGACCCCATCTGTTTGCATATTCCAACAGTTCACCCACAGATGTGAATGAGTTATGTTGCACACCACACCAAGAAAGGATTTTATCAGTAATAGAACGAGCAAATAGGCATAGAAGTAGTATATGATCTGCACACTCGGATTCATTGATGCATGCACCGCATGTAATCGTCGTGAGGTCAATACCACGAGATCGTAACGCCACCGCTGAAGGGATCTTCTTTTGTAATGCCCGCCAAATAAAACAATTGACTTTATTAGGAGATACGTTATTCCATTTGAAGACAAAGCTGGTTGAGGCGCAAGAGGGGGATGGGGACAATTTTGATGCAATCTTTTTCCGCATGTTACTCACCGAGAATGTCCCACTATTATCTAGGATACATCGCCATTCATCCTCACCTGGTACCAACCTAACTAGATCAAGATCCCTATGTAAATTGATCAGGTTGTTGGATTCAACTGTGTCTTCTACTCGAATGGACCAGTGTCCTTCAAAAGTACCCTCAAAAAATCTATCTGCCACCAAACAGTTCTTCCTTGATTCAAGCTCAAACAGTGATGTGTACTTGACTTTTAAGGGCACCGTACCTAGCCATCTATCGAACCAGAACAAAGAGTTTTCACCTGATTTTATGTGCACTTTAAAGATGTCTTCAATCTCTAACCCATGTTTTTTGAGATCAGTCCTTGATGCAACAATATTCTTCCAAACACCAGTAACGTTCCTGTTTGATAGATAGTCATGTGGTTTGTTATGGATATTATGAATCCCTTTTATAGTGCAACTCCAGATCGAATTTTTTTCCACTTTCAGTCTCCACCACCACTTGACTAATAAGCTTGTATTTAGAGTACGAATTGATCCCACGCCTAGACCACCCTCAGATTTAGGGGCCACAATTTTATCCCACGACACCCAATGGATCTTCCTATTATTTTCATCACCACCCCATAAAAACCTTCGGCGAATCCTCTCCAAAGCCTCAGTGACTGCCATCGGTGCCTTAAACAAAGAGAAGAAATAGGTTGGGAGATTCCCCAAAACTGAGGTAATTAGGGTCAACCGCCCACCGAAAGACAACGCCTTTGCTTTCCAGGCTGAAAGTTTTGACTGAAATTTATCTAGAATCGGTTTCCAATTTTTTTATTAAGTTCATATTTGCACCCACCGGCACACCAAGATAATTGAATGGGAATGTGCCCGCTTCACAACCAAGGATGCTAGCCCAATTTGCGGACTCACGATCTGCAGCCCCGATCCCGAATACCCTAGATTTGTGGAAATTGACTTTGAGACCCGAGGAGGCGTTGAAGCATTTGAGGATCCGTGATAAATTTTTAAGATTGGTTCTAGACCATTCACCGACAAATAAGGCATCGTCCGCATAGAAAAGATGTGATAAAATGGGACCGTTGTTCGGGATTTGAATACCTTTGAAGATTCCTTTGTCTCTAGCTGCCTCCAATGCAACATTGAGACCTTCCATTGCTATGATGAAAAGAAATGGGGACAATGGATCGCCTTGTCTGACCCCTTTAGAAACTTCGAATTCTTCTGTGGGAGATCCGTTTATAATTACCGAGGTACGCGCGGATAAGACACCCGTGGATCCATGATCGCCACTTGCTGCCGAAACCCATTTGGGCGAGAATGGAGTCAAGGTACTGCCAGTTTAAAGAATCGAATGCCTTATCGAAGTCTACTTTGAACATCAACACCTTTTTTTGCACTTTCTTAGCCCATGACAACAACTCATTTATCACCAAGGGTCCATCAAGAATACTTCTACCTTCTACGTATGTGGATTGCACATCACCTATGAGCCCACCAATGACCTTTTTGAGACGCAACGCTAAGATCTTGGAGATTATTTTATACATACATCCAATGAGACTGATTGGGCAATAATCAGTGAGCGAGATGGGATCTTTAATCTTTGGAGCGAGAGTGATGAATGATGAATTGCATCCCCTTGCTAAAGTCCCAAATTTGTCGAAGTGAATAACAAAATTCATCACGTCTACTTTAAATAAATCCCAGTAGGTCTTGATAAATTTAAATGTTAGTCCGTCAGGCCCAGGGGCCTTGTCACTACCGCATGCCCAGACCGCTGTTTTTACTTCTTCAAGCGTAAATGGAAATTCAAGTTTAATTGCCTCCATCATGGATAAAGACTTGAATAGTGGACTGATGAGTTTAGGCCTCGAAGTCTTAGTCTCAGTGAACTTGCTTGTAAAGAAACAGAGAGCTTCCCCTTTTACTTCATCTACCGCACTGGTCCATTTACCATTCACCATTAAGCCGTTAATTCTATTCTTCCCATTCCTGCTATTGATAAATCCATGAAAAAATTTTGTGTTCTCGTCCCCTTCTACATTCCATTTCACCCGAGATTTCTGTTTTAAATCTAACACAACAAGTTTCTCAAGTTCTAATAGCTTTTGAAGGCCCTGACTTCGTGATTGTAGTTCATGATCTGTTAAGGATCTATCTTCAGCCGCTTTCTCAATCTGCGCAATTTCCCATTTGACTTTAATTACATCTTGATGTTCTTCTAAGACAGTCCTTTTCTTCCACTGCTTAATCTCATCTTTCAAGAATTTGAGCTTATTGGCAAGATATGCGTCTGGGTAACCGAACCCAAAGAACTTCTCCCACGCTTCCCTAACAGTGGAGTCGAATCCATCTTTGAGAAGCCATGAATTAAATAGTTTAAATGGGGGAGGGCCATAGTCTGCATTGAGGGATTTTAGGGTGATGGGACAATGGTCTGAGATTTCACGGGGGTGTGCTGTCACAGCAAGGGAGGGAAAGGCAGATAGGAAATTTGAACATGCCAGAAACCTGTCTAGTTTACTAAGTTTTGCACCAACTCTGGACATGTATGTGTATGCTTCGCCACCCATTCTGAAATCATGTAGTTCCGCCTCTTGAATGAACTCATTAAAAGAGAATGCGCTGGTCGGACAAAAGTGTGAATTAAATCTCTCTTCCTGTCTTCTTACTGCATTAAAGTCGCCAAATACGACCCAATTGCCCGGTTTTATACACCTGATTGATAGTAGCTCTTTCCATAGGTTCTTTTGATCAACAAGATTGTGTGGGCCATAAATGTTTGCGAAGACGGTGTCCCCATCGATTCCAATCCATTTACCTATAACAATGATATAATGACTTGATTTTATAATTTCTTTTTTCTAAAAGCATAGTGTGTTCCACATCGATACTAAGCCACCGGAACGTCCGTTAGAATTTACACCTTCATGCTCGAAATCTTGAGAACCCCAGCACCCTTGAACATCAATTCTTTCATGGTCTGTTAATTGAGTTTCCTGCAAACCCACAAAATCGGCCTTGTGTAGGTTTTTTAGTTTCCTCACCCAATTGACTTTCGCCTCCACCCCAATGCCACGAACATTTAGTGATATGCAATTCATTGATCAAACATTTGCTCACCTTATTCTCCTACAACTTCTGCTAGGGTTGAGTCCCTCTCGTTGACCAGAAATCCGATCGCGGCCCCAACCGCAGCTGTTTCCTCTAATTCTGACACAATACCAACATCACTTGCCGACGCATGATTTACCACACAGGTCGAATGGTTTAACATTTCGTTCATTGTCTTGGATTGATTTCCCAGCACCGGTTGATTCAATTTAAGAGCGAGGAGAGTAAAATTACTGTTTGGTATAGAGTTCTGATCAGATATGTGTGACAGGAGCACCGATTTATCTCTCTTTCTTTTTTTCTGTTTATGACCACCACTAATAGAACCCTCCTCAGTAGTCCGATCAATGGCATGGGCTTGTTGAGAAGTGAAGGAAAAGGCCACGTTCGTAGTAGGGAACGGCCCAAAACAACCTGAAGGGACTAATTTTTCCACTGGCCCAATAAAAGAAGTATTATTTGATGGATTGGGGTCCACCGATATACTTTGGGTAGTTTCTATATTACGTTTGTCTAGAAAAGGGATGTTGGGAATTTCATTCGTCACTACCGCATCGGGAAGCTGCGATTCATTAATCCCCTTCTTTGCCACGCTAAACGGCTTTTCGTTCGCCACCGCCTCGTTACCCACAATCGTCGGTACTGGCCCAGATGTCGCCGGAGATTTGTCCTGCATCTCTACTTGCGTCGCCTCCGGTCTAGTTTCATCCTTCTCCGGTCTGATTTCCCCCTCCTCCGGTTCGTCGTTTTCTTCTTCCATCCAAGTTTCTGATATCCCTTCAACATCTTCTTCATCGTCATCAGAATCTTCAACTTTATCAAACGGGAGGGGTTTAAAGGGCGTCCATTCATCTGTATATTCCACCACACCTACTTTGTATTCTACTCCGTTTGAGTTTATCATTAGTTCTTCATTGATCCACTTTCTGTTAGATGTAATTACTCCAACTTTTCCCATGGAGTAATCCCTTCTATTGGCGATGTTGTCAAAGGGACTTATCACTCTTCCGAATTTACTGACAATGAGGGAAAAATTTTGCTCATCCCAGAGATTTAGTGGAACACCGAGAATTTTTAGCCAGACCATTCTTTCATAGTTTAGTTCTTGTTGGTCAGCTCGTACTATCCATTTGAACCAATCCTTCCAATGTTTTTTATTTTCCAGATACACATCTGCATCCTTAGAACAACCAAAGTGAATGGCAAGCCTTAGTCCCCCAAGATACTTCGTTTCGTCGTTCAATATTCCCATGGCATGGATGGTGCCGATGTGATCCAGACTATGTGCTTCACCAATTAATAGGCTTTTCTTTAACCATTCGTTCATGTATGTATTTGAATTGAGGACTACCTGCGGAACTGCAGACTTGTTCCGGTCAATAGGCAAGCCCCCGACAACCTGTGCAAAAGTCATTTTATCCCTTGTTCCTGTCAAGTGAGAGTAATCCGCCCTAAAGGCCCCCTGTTGTTGATATTGCCTGGCTTTAGGTATAGGTTGGTGCCTTGTTTCCCGGTGTGGTTATTGGACAACTTTACGCTGATGTTTCGAGATGTTGATCTCTAAAGTCTTGTTTCTGCATTTTATGCCCTGTAGTTTATCCTCCAACTTCTTGGCATCTTCGATGTTAATGTACCTGACGAATGCAAAGTTCTTTTTGTGGAAATCTTTTTTAAGACCAAAATATATGTCAACCACCTTCCCAAATCTAGCGAATGGTGTCCTTAGTTCTTCCTTCCTTGTTCCATCTGGAAAGCCTGCCACATAGTAATTAGTAAGCTCCTTGTTGACTTGTGCTTTGTTAGTGTTTTTCTTCCACCGGACTTCTGTCCATTCTCCGTCCATGGTAACCGGCGACAGGAATACTTAACTATCATTATATCATAACCATTCAATTTACCGGATTCTTGCGATTGTAGTTGTCCATTACCATTTTTCCTGAAGAGTTTTTCTCTTTCTTTGCGTTGTTGCAAATTTAAGAAAGATGGAAATTGGCCATAATCTAATTAGTAAAGGAAGGTTACAATCAAGATTTGGTCGTTTTCCCTATGGTTTGACACTCGGTTTTACAAAAGTTATTCTACAACATGACCAGTATATTGCATGATGTTTAAAAAAAAAAAAAAAAAAGAAAGAGTTTTAAATGATGAAAGTTTCACAATAAATTTTAAATCGCGAGTTAAATATTCATATCCACCAAACAAATCCAAAAAAAGAACCCATAAAGACACAACCCAACCAAACATTGCCATTCCTGTAAACAATTCCAAAAAAAACCCCACAAACCCACCAAACATCGACCATTTATATAACTTTAGATAAATCAACTAATCAAGTTTGTAAACAATATTCAAACGATCATGTATAGAGTGAAATAAGCTAAATAACAATTTATTCTCGATGTATAATTATATATCTTCAATATTTTCATTTTTTGATATGGAAACAATAATTTCCCAAGGTTTTATTAATATTTTAAAGATTTAGAACTACAGTTTACACTTTACAGGCGACTATTCCTCGTATTTGGTCCCATTGCTTTTGCCATTTCTCGGAGTATAAACTTCTGAATCTTCCCCGTCGACGTTTTCGGCAACTCTTCTTTAAAAACCACCGTCTTCGGCACCATAAATCCCGGCAGCTTACCTCTACAATACTCCGCCACCTCTCTCTCCGTCACTTTCCCCACCATCTCCGCCTTCAAACTCACAAACGCACACGGCGTTTCTCCCCAATGATCATCCGCCCTCGCCACCACTGCCGCCTCATTCACCGCCGGATGCGTATACAAAACCGATTCCACCTCCACACTGCTCAAATTCTCGCCACCACTAATGATCACGTCTTTTGATCTGTCCTTAATCTCCAAATACCCATCTGGGTGCATCACTGCAACATCGCCGGTGTAGAACCACCCATTTTCTCTCATACACTTGGTGGTTCCGACCGGGTCTTTGAAATAACCCAGCATAACACATCCGCCGCGTAGCACCACCTCCCCTAGTGTTGACCCGTCCCGAGTCACACTCAGACCTGACTCGGGATCCACCACATCCATGTCTGTAAATGCAACAGTTCTCACCCCTTGTCTAGCTTTCAGTCTAGCTCTCTCCGTCGCTGGGAATCGGTTCCATTTCTGCTTCCATGCGCAAGTCACAGTTAACCCACCTATCTCCGTCAGCCCGTACCCGTGACTGATGATGAACCCAAGAGACTCCGCCCGAGCCAGAACCGCCGCAGGCGGAGGAGCTCCAGCCGTCATGATATTAACGGGTTTCTTTAAGGGTTTCACGTTCGGGACATTCGATAACATGTTGAGGACAACCGGAGCACCACATATGTGAGTGACGCCGTGTTTGTTAATGGCGTCGTAGACAATGGCTCCGTCGAATTTGCGTAAGCAGATGTTGGTGGCGCCGACCGCCGCCGTACCCCATGTGTAGCTCCAACCATTAGCATGAAACATCGGCAGAGTCCATAAGTAAACAGGTTGTTTCGGAACAGACCATTCAATAAGAGAGTCAACGGCGATGAGGAACATACCACGGTGGCTGTGAACTACTCCCTTAGGAGACGACGTCGTGCCGGAGGTGTAATTCAACGTCATCGGATCCCACTCCGATACTGGTCTAATCCAATTGAACCCCGGATCGCCGTTTTCCACCATACTTTCATAAGTACATCGGAATCCTACCATGGATTGGGGGGTAGATCCATCATCAGTGATGAGTACGAGCATCGGTTTTTGTAAACCTGGGGAAAACATGGAGATTGCATCCAGGATGATAGAAGCCGACTGATAATCTACAAAAACAAGTTTCGATTCGCTGTGTGAAAGGATTACAGAAACTGTGCGGGCATCAAGGCGGGTGTTAATTGAATTGATGATAGCTCCGGCCATGGGTATGGCGAAGTAGAGCTCATACATGGCAGGGACATTTGGGGCAACGACTGAAACGACGTCATTTCTCTTAATTCCGAAGTTGGAAATGGAGGAAGCCACCTGAAGAATCCTTCGTCGGGTTTCGTTCCACGTATAGGTAGTGTCGCCGTAGACGACGGAAGGGCAGTCGCCATAGACGGTGGCGCACCGATCAAGAAAGCTTAGAGGAGTAAGCGGCGATGAGTTGGCTGGACTTCGGCGGAACTGATCCATGCTCGAGCCTATCTATCTCAGTAAGACACTGGCCACAATAAACTGAATTTAGTTATGGAGAGTAAACTCCGGCGAGCTGCATTTAATGGCAAGATGTGCGAAGGGATCGCTTGTTTGACTTTCTGTCTTTACAAGTCAACAGATCCAACGGACGTCGTGAGATCACGTGGTTGTTGATAGCTTAGCTTATCGATATATGAGAATCCATCAATTCATTTGCTATTAATTAATAGTTAATAAGATAAGATGTTATCTTTTTTAACGCTACTTTCAAATAAAGGGCTATCCGTGTGTTTGAGGCGTCACATCAAGCTAGTTTATTTTTCGAATATTTTTATATACGGCAGACGAAAAAGTAGCTTGTTAGATTTTTGAAAAGCTACTTAGACTAGTTTTCTAGGAGTTTCTTTTTAAATTTTCCAAATATACCCTTTAATTAATTATAGAAAAAAATATTTTTAATTGTCATTTTATGTAATTTTATATATTCCAACTAGTTTTTCAGCTAGTTTACCAAACATTATTTTTTATCAGCTAGTTTTTTATTTAACAGCAAACTTTTCAGCTAGTACGCCAAATATAGTCTAATAATATTTTATTTGATTGTCATTGCTAGTTTTTGGATAATGCTATATAATGTTAAAGGTATTTTTTTAAGACAATCTAATAAAATTGTATAATATTAAATTGTAAATGGTTTATGGACAAAACTATAAAAATGGTCGCTCAAAAATGGTCCTTATGGTATGCATTTTTTCTTCGGTTTATTTCAAACTTCGACTTTTTTGGCTTCGTAGTCCTTTTGAGCTAGTTTCATTGCGGATTTGGCCCATCAGTAAACTGAAATGACTGTAATAACTTTGGGGTATTTACTTTTTTTTTATTTTTTTTATTTTTTTAAAAGTTTAAAATTTATTTATTTTAATAATTAAAAAAGAGAGGGGCCCACGTCTCTCTCTCTCAATATGGCAACTGAAAAGGTTAAGAAGGTAGAGGTTGAACCCGAGTGCCCGATGGAGCCACCACCCGCCGCCGAGGTGGAGGAGAAAGCTATTGAACCTCCTGTTACAAAAGAAAAGCTTGTCGATAATACCAAAGCCCTTGCCATCGTTGAAAGTAATTCTTCTTCGTACTTCTCACAAATTTCAACTAAATTAAGCAATTCCATACTTTTCGTTACAATTAAAAAGATTTTTGCTTTTTTACTATGATTGAATCCTTTTACCCTCTGTTTTTTATTGACACCGGTTTCTTGAACCAATTAAAGTTGGAAAACGAAGACCTCTCAATTTTCAGTGAGTATGTTCATTAAGAAATATTGCAGTCTAACTGATTGTTAATTTGTCAGAGCCTATCGAGGATAAATCGGAAGAGGGTTTTGTCCATAGATGTAATATTAGCAATCTAAAAATCCGATTTTGGTTTTGATTTTGAAAAGTTCAAAGAGATTAATTAATCGACTACTTCTTCAGATGTTGTTCTTGCGAGAGTTTCAACAGAGAAGAAAGACGCACTAATCAAAGCATGGGAAGAAAGCGAGAAATCAAAAGCAGAGAACAAGTAAGAACACCACCACCAAAAAAAAATACAAACTTTGATCTTAATTGATTTCATTTTCAACTTGTGATCTTGAACAGAGCTCAACAAAAGCTATCTTCGATTGGAGCATGGGAGAACAGCAAGAAAGCAGACTTAGAAGCTGAACTGAAGAAGATTGAGGTAACATTTACATCATATCATCGATCATCGATCATGAAATATGTTGAAAGAAAATCATTTAATTGAAAAATAATGTATTGCAGGAGAATTTGGAGAAAAAAAAGTCTAAAGCATATTGAGAAGATAAAGAACCAGATAACTCTTCTTCATAAAAAAGCAGAGGAGAAAAGGGCGATGACGGAAGCCAAAAGAGGAGAAGCTCTTTTGAAAGCAGAGGAGACGGCGGCTAAGTGCAGAGCCACCGGAGAAACCCCAAAGAAAGGGTGGTTTCGAGCTAGATGTTCATGTTTCTCATCGGAATTCAGGTATAGTGAAGAAGATGAACGCATAAAAGTATTCTGGTGCCTGAGGTTTGAAAATGGGGATGTGGGTTTTGATAGATTTTTTTCCAGGTTCATTTTGTGTTCTACCATTTGTGTTCATGATCACCTTCAACCTCCACCTTTATCAACCCAAGAACTATGCGCCCAAGTGATTCAGCAACTTGCAATCTTGCTTTGCTCCCTTATGGAACCAGAAGTAGGCAAGAAGAACATAATTTTAGCAAGGTTCACTGGAGTTGTAGCCACCGCCTCGGTCTTGGATGGTCACACCCCAAACCAGTCGGCGGAAACGTCCGGGGTGGATGACTTCATTTGTAGTATCACAACACATGCATTATAGTAATCAAAGTACAAACAACCATTGCATTAATAAGTATAAGTTTTTACATGTGTTCAATCAATGTATATTGACACCAAAATAGTTATACAAAAGAAGAAGACATGACTCAAAAATAGCTCCATCTTCTCAAAAGCTCGGGGAGTACCTGTCTACTGATTCCCTGAGAATACAAGTAATTTGAAAAGAGAGTATCAACATAAAGTTGAGTGAGTGCATAAGCATTTATGTTTGAAAGTATGTTTTCTGTTTCTTGAATATGTAAATTGTTCCAGAAAAATCCTATATTTTCTGCTGTATGTGAAAAGTAGTTTTAATCTCATAAAACCGTTCTGTTTGTAAACGAATGTTCTGTATTTGTATTCCTTTTGTAAAACCTGTAACTGTGAGTGTGCCTGGTTCCACCAGCTGTTATTGTAAACTATAATGTAATACTGTAGATTGTATTTTGTAAACTAGTACTTTGAAGATGTACTTATGTTTGATTAATTACACACTAACGTATTGTTAATATCTTTTTAATGAGTTATTATAACCATACTGAGACTAGATGGCCTGAAACAACGCTTTGAAGGCGTTAAAAACTGTTGATAACAACTGTCACTCGTAGGCGTGTATGCCTGATTATAGCTAGCAGTCTGAGTGCGGGGTTGTCAATCCCAATATAGATCTATACACACTTGTTTCGATCCCCGACTGGAGATTCTGGTTATAATGTCAGGACTTTAACTATGTTGTTTAAATAAATTAAACAAACTAAATCAAATGACTCATAAAAAGCATATAGACGTTATGTGTATAAAAGTTATGAAAACCCAATCATTCTGAAATAAATGATTGATAGTATGTTCCTGAATTAGTATTCTTAACATGTATATGAAATATGTATACCCTTGATTAGTTTTGAATCAAACCATTGTTCTTGTAAAACTGTAACACTCAGAATCAGAAAGACCAAGAAAAGGAAGGAAAGGCTCTAAGTCAAGAGTCAACTCATCGAGTCCAGGGAGGAACTCGACGAGTCGAAGCGGGATCCGGGGCATAGAGTAAGTGACCGACTCGACGAGTCGGCTAGTGGACTAGGCGAGTCTGGTCTGGGCGAGAAAAACCCTAATCCCGGGGGTTGTGCCCTATTTAAAGAACATTACATCCCTTCCCCAACCTCTTTACTCCCCTTTTGAGATCCAGAAACCCTAAATCGTGAGTGAGAGCCCTTGGAAGCAATTTAGAGCCTAGATAAGTGATTTTGGTGGAAAAGGGGCTTGAAGATCAAGAGGCTTGCTGCAAAGGAGTGGTGTAGATCCGGGATCTACTTCAGTTGGAGCATATATTGGAGGTAATAAGCTGTTGCTTTGGCTTTATTACAAATAGATCTATCTTATGTTTGAGATTTGGGGCATTTTGGGCATGATTGAGATATATGTCGAGTTAGAGGCCTAGATCTGAGGTTGCTACCTCAGATCTAGACTTATGATGGTCCAGAAGGTCATAAAGTTTATGTCAATAAGTTATTGGTGAAGCCCATTTGCCTTAAACCCTAGCCCTAGAGTGTTTTGGGCCTTTAGCTCATTGGTTTCACGTAAAGTTTGCAACTTTACGTGGGGGATAGACTGTAGAAGAGTGGATCTATGGATTGGAGCCCCTGCATGGCTCGAAAAGCCACTGTATGGATTGAGAACTGGAGAGACTCGGCGAGTCACATGGGTGTACTCGACGAGTTGTATGAATATGTGCATGGGCTCAGCGAGTTGGAAGAACAACTCGGCGAGTCTGTTGAAGATTGCCTAGGACTCGGCGAGTCTGTTCTTGGACTCGACGAGTCAGGTCGCAGAACCCCCAACCTCTTCTGGTTAAGATGCAGATCAGTGAGTTGAGCGGTGACTCAGTGAGTTGGACAGGATGGGACTCAGAGATCGTTGAACTCGACGAGTCCTGGGGTGACTCGGCGAGTTGGGTCGTATTTTGAGAGCTTCTGAGTTTAAGGACTCGGCGAGTCGTCGGGTTGACTCGGCGAGTCGAGTCAACTGGAAGGTTGACTTTGACCAGGACTTTGACTTTAACCAGAGTTGACTTAGTTTGACTTCTAGAGTTCAGTTTGGAACTAAGTGTTTTATTGATATTAGTTGCTCGGGGAGCTAGCGGAGCAGCGGTTCAGAGAGTGGTCGGACAGCAGCCAGAGGGTTATCAGCAAAGTCAGCAGTGCGAGGTGAGTCTCCTCACTGTTTGTATGGGTCTACGGCCACAATGGCGACCCATTTAGTTTATGTATGGTAGGAAGACCCGTGGGTTAGCCCTAGGCATTATGCATGAAAGACCAGGAGGAGGCTCCTGGCACACAGTATGTTATTATGTATGGTAGGAAGACCCGGGGGTTAGCCCTAGGCATTATGCATGAAAGACCAGGAGGAGGCTCCTGGCACACATTATGTTATTATGTATGGTAGGAAGACCCGGGGGTTAGCCCTAGGCAACATGTATGAAAGACCAGGAGGTGGCTTCTGGCACACTGTATACTATTATGAATGAAAGACCAGGAGGTGACTCCTGGCACACTGTATGCTGAGTAGCCTAGTAGAGTAGTAGGTATAGTTGTCTTTGTGATGATTGCATGGAAGACCAGGGGGTGGCCCTTGGCACTTGTCTGTAAGACCCAGGGAGTGGCCCCCAGGCTTGACAAGAAAGACCACGTGCGGCCCGTGGCAATACAGCAAGACTATGTTTGGCACATAGCACTTTACTTGATTATGGATATGTTTGTTATGTATGGCTCATGGTTACGTATGGTATGTATGGATCGGTTGGTTTGTATGGTATGTGGTATCTGGGGAACTCACTAAGCTTCGTGCTAGGGTTTTCAGTTTTGGTTTCAGGTATTCAGTTTTCAGAAGAGGAGCTCGGAAGGGTTGCAGTGTACACACCATGACAAGTTAGCCTGGGATGTTTACTCTGATAATTAAACAAGTGTTTTGGAAATGAAACTATGATTTGTCATATAAACCCTTTTAGTATGTTTGAATGACTTAATGCTATGAATCAGTAATGTTTTTAAAAGAAATTTTTGGACTCGAAATCCAGGATGTTACAAAAACAGTGTACTCTAGTATACTTGAATCGTGAATTAATGTTCTATGAATCATAAATTATACCTATAATAATTTATATGTACTTTCTGAATTGATACTAACTGTTCATGAATGCAACCCATTGCTCAACATGTTACAAAGGGTATTTGAACGGAATGAAATAACTTTTATATTTATATACATATACAAAATATATATATATATATATATATATATATATATATATATATATATATATATATATATATATATATAAGTAAAATTTAAATGACATTCGGACAAATAACCGATACTTATAAGCCCACATCCAAACAAGGAAAAGGAACCAAAGTGAGTTATCAGTCCTTAGCATTTTAAATCTTATATATATATATATATATATATGATTTCTGGGGAAAAATATAAGTTTATAAAATCATTTAAAAAGTTTAATAATTCGAAATACTTTTGGTGACTTGATGTCATTTTAACACAATTTGAAACCATTTGATTTGATAATAATTGAAATCCATTTTGGTAAGATGTTTTGAAACCATTTGTTTTGATAATAATTGAAATCCATTTTGGTAAGATGTTTTGAAACCATTTGTTTGTAACACAAAATCCTTGTGTTAGACTTGTATTTCCCCCCCCCCCCCTCCCCTTTTAAAACAGTAAAAACTATGAAAATACGGGGGGTATGAACTCACCTTTTGGAGGGTGATTCAAATGATGACTTGGTATAGGATGTTTAGTTCCACGAGTGAAATCCCGCAACAAAACTAGTCTTATATAGTATATATAACAACATATATATGTATACAATTAGTGGAGAGAGAGAGATGGGTATGTGGGCCCCTTTTTTTAATTTTATATATATAAATACTTATAGAAAAAAAATGGAAAATAAATATAATAAGGGCAATTTAGTCTTTTCAGTTTATCGAATGACTAAAATCACAAACAAACTACCTTAAAAGGACCACCAATTCAAAAAAATCGTGGTTTGGACTAAAACCCCAAAAATGCATACCACAAAGACCATTTTTGCAATTTTGTCTGGTTTATGAGGCAGTTAGACTTTTAGTTTTATAAAAAGTGATTTATAGGATATGTTAATATTATAACTTCTTTAAAGAGATTTTAGTTTTTTTTAGAACTCAGCAAAATTTTATTAAAAACCCATAGCAAGATGCAAGACAAGGGAGACAAAACAAGGAGAATTACACCAATAAAAGTTCCAATATGCCCAATTATAATTATTATAACTACCCTCTCTCTGTTCCTCACCATTTTTGCAGGGAGGTCAGGATCTTGTTAAAAACATTGTTATTCCTCAACTTCCAAATGGACCATATTGTTCCATAAACAATAGATATTAAGAATTTTCTTTTCTTTGGGCAGTGACTTCAATTCGCAGCAAAGTCAATCACCTCTTGAACTCGATCCATTTATACCACACTAGTTTAGAATCATTCTCCTTGTTTACATGTTACCTAAAAATCTATTTTCAGGGGACAAAGATAGTGGATCACTTGTTGATTTCTTACAACTTTGCTACGACTTTGACATTAATCGAATTAGATTCGTTTAAAGCTATAAAAACTTGAGATCATTAATAATTTGGAGGCTCGAGAGCTTGAGTTCGAGCTCGGCTCGTTAATGCTCATTTGTCTGTGAAGCTCGTTAAAGATAAGGAACAATTGGTTATTTTTTCATATTTCATTAACATTATAAGTAATAAATAATAATAAATAAAATAAATTGTATATTATACAAACGATCATTTATGCTTGCGAGCATAAATGAGCTCTCACCCACAGGCTCGAGATCATGTTCGTTTATTAAATGAACTTTATTTTAGGCTTGAGCTCGTTAAAGCTCGACACATTTTGAGCTTTTAATGAAACGAGCTCAAATAGCTAGGCAGATTTACATCCC